CACCGTCCTGCTGCACCGCAGCACCGGCAAGTTCCACTACAAGAAGGAGGGCACCTACTCCATCGGCACCGTGGGCACCCAGGACGTGGACTGTGACTTCATTGACTTCGCTTACGTCCGCGTCTCCTCCGAGGAGCTGGACCGGGCCCTCCGCAAGGCCGTCGGGGAGTTCAAGGTAAGGAGCCCCACAGGGACCCTGCAGGGCTGAAACTGGGAGCTTAAAAACCTGCGGGCTGTGCCATGTCCTGCGAGGGGAAGGTCAGTCCCTAGCCCACCCCGAGCCAGGCCACGTGCTCTCTCGGCAGGACGCACTGCGCAACTCGGGCAGCGATGGAATGGGGCAGATCTCCCTGGAGTTCTACCAGAAAAAGAAGTCGCGCTGGCCCTTCTCGGATGAGTGCATCCCCTGGGAGCTGTGGACCATCAAGGTGAACGTGGTGAACCTGGCTAACGAGCAAGAGCGGCAGATCTGCCGGGAGAAGGTGGGCGAGAAGCTCTGCGAAAAGATCATCAACATCGTGGAGGTGATGAACCGCCACGAGTACCTGCCCAAGATGCCCACCCAGTCAGAGGTGGACAACGTCTTCGACACCAGCCTGAAGGACGTGCAGCCCTACCTGTACAAGATCTCCTACCAGATCACGGACTCCCTGGGCACCTCGGTCACCACCACCATGCGCCGGCTCATCAAGGACACTCTGGCTCTGTAGGGCTGGGTGCCACCGAGGCAGGTTCACCCCGCGTGGTGGCACCTCTTTGGCACAGCCCCTGGCTCTCTGGGACAGCATCTCTGTTTGGATCCTTCCTCTCCGCCTCCAAAAAGCCTCTGCAGGGAGCTGGACTTGGCCTGGCCCTTAATTGGGGGGTGCTGCTGGTTTGGTTTGCACCACGGGGTGCTTGCCCGTCCCGGAGAACCGGCTGGGTGGCTCCCAGGTTGGCTGAGGAGGGGTGAGTCCTCAGGGCGGGAGCTGCTGGTTGAGAAGACTATTTCTTCCCCCTTTATAAAATTTCTAAGTGGCTGGGCCTTGAATGTTTAAGGGTT